ATTCTTCTCTTCTTCAGATCCGGTGCCTTCAATAGACATTTCTATGGATTACTCTAAATCTGAACTATCAATTATTTTAGAGAATATGTAATCCTTGCGAAAGGTGTATCACTTTTGAGTATATGTGCCACAAAATTTCATTATGGGTTATTTTTTATATAATATATTTTATATTCTATTAGATCATGAGCTAAATTTAAACTCGATGACGATTATCATTAAATTAATATTATATATATTATATATATATATATATATATAATAATATATATATATATTATATATATATATATATATATATATATATATATATTATAATATATATATTTCACCTTTTTCCATTAATTAATTGATGAGACTTCAAGGTTTTCTTCATAAGAGTTAGACATATTAAAGTCATAATGATATTTCCCATTAATTAAATGCCCGTAAATAAAATTTAAAAAAAATAATTTATATCATAAAATCTTTAATTGATTTTTTTAATATTTATAATATATTAATTTTTCTATATAAGTAATACTAATTATTAATTATAATAAAATAAATTTATATGCTTTTCTTAAAACATGCATAAAAAAAAAAGTAAATCTCTTGGGGGGGGGGGGGGGGGGATGGGGATGCTCTCCCTAACCACAAGGTGCATGGTTATATAAATTTTGATGCAACCATTCATTATAATAAACAATTTTTTTTTAGAAATGATAAATAAATATTAAGATAATCTATTTTTTTCGGAGAAAATACAATTCAATGCTAATAAAATAATTTATGTCATGGTACTCAAATAATGATAAAAAATTATTGCAAGGGGAATTGCTACAACATTTGACTCAGAAAGATCAATAACCTCAATACTAATAAAAAAATAGAAATAAGAAGGGAAATAGTTAAACAAACATATCAATCCATACAAAAAACCGATCCCAAATTTTTCAATACTAAGATTCATCAAAATTTTAAACAAGACATGAATTTACACATCAAAATATAATTTTTTCATTGAAGATAAATTATTTTATATAATGCTCTAATATCACTATAAACAATAAATTATCAAAGTCCAATTACACAAAAAAGAGCCCAAATATTTCACAAATAACTACAAATAAGCTCTCAGGAGCAACATGTTATTACAATAATGGAAATCAAAAATATAAAACCACATAATACACAATTTAAAAATACATAGACTCCAACGTTTTAATGTTTAAATATAATTCAATTAGAATATCTATAACTTATGCAACAAGATCAATTCATCTACACAAACAAGTTACTGAATTTTAGATAATAATTTTTCAGAACATTCGAAAGAATAAACAAGAGAAAATATCTTACAGGATGCATTTTATAACTGGCACTAGCGAAAATTGATTGATTTTGTCATCTTTTCCATCACAATCAACAATTTCTATCTGAATAATACATTTCTCTTGCGGATTTCTGACCGAAAGTTTTTTTTCGCCAGTTAAAACTCACAATAGGAAAAAATACCGGCAAAAAAATTTCCGGATACATTCCTAACAAAAAATTATCTTAGGAAAAAAAAATTCTTGGCACAACTCAATGTTCTCATTCCTTCATATCTCATTTCTACTACCAAACCCTGACCTACTTGTTGCTCACTCGTGCGGTAGCAGTATACAGTAAATTGGTGAAGTTGAGTCATTCTT